CATCTCAAAAATCAATTTTGAAACTGTCAGCCATTTTACCTTTAGATAATTCTGAAGGCTGTCACTGTTTTTTACCTGCCTGTGGCATGCATTGGTTTCAAAACAAATAAAACTATATAAAAACTTAATCAGGATTAAAAAAAGAGTTGTCTAACAGTGAAACAACTTCAGTGATACAATTTAGAAATATTTGTCATCTTTTCTTGGGAGAAAGATGTCCCAAGCAAGCCACTCTTTACAGTTGAAAATAACCACGTGAATGATTTCTCCTTTATTGATGTATACAGGAAAATCCTGCTACCATACTTAAGGCTAGCTGCAGTTGATGAGCTTATGAACAAGTCAAGTCCTCAAGCCCTGGCATATTCACCTAAGAATTTTCTCCTCCTTTCCTGTTATGATGGTGTTATTCCTGTGTATATACAAAGCAAGAAAGCAAAGTAGGACTTGCAAGGCAACACTAAGGAGGAAATACTGTTCAAGTAGTAGCAATAACAGTATTACTATTAAAGTATTAATAACAACATACTCTTGTCAAGAGTTCTAACACAAAACATATGTTTAATATACAAAGTGTCTGATGATCATTCTCCTTAACACGTGATAGTGAGTGGAAGAGGAAGTGGGGTGCAGGAGGGTTTGAATTTACAAGAAAATCTGAAGTTAAGTTGAAAGGCAGAAAAACCCCAGATCAGTCAAGTGTCCATATCCTGTTCTCTTACCTTGTCTGGGCTACATGTGCATCAAGGAGCAGACAAGGGTAGGCAACTAACCTCCATTTGTTCACACAAGGAAGTGCTGCACCCACACTGCTACTTTTTCTTGTGGGAAATTCTGCCTAGACTATAGTACTTATCACTGAAAAAAAACTTGATAAGAGATAAATTGCCAGATCCCTTGTACTTGTACATAGAAAATGGGAATCACTTTAAGGAACAAGCCTTTTCATGCAATACAGAGACCACTACTTTGTTCTGCATATGCAGCTACTGCCCCTCCTAGCAGACATGCCTAAAGGAGGTTTTCCCTCTATTCATCTTGTTTCTGTTGGGACAAGACCAAGAAATTGTTCATCATGCTATTCTTCTCTCCCTTTTCCTGAGGCTAGCCACATATCTAAATCACAATAATGATTCTGTCCCAGAGCCCGTTAGATGCTAACTTCAGGGGCAGAGGCAGTGCAGGGAACTGT